AGGCAGCCCGATGTGGGACTCGATCCCGGGACTCCAGGATCATGACCTGAGCCGAAGGCAGTCGCTTAACCAACTGAGCCACCCAGGCGCCCCTATACTCCCATTTATTAAGAATAGGATTTAAGTGGGGTGTCTGGCTGGCTCGGTCCATGCAGCATGTGACTCTTAATCTCAGGGTTGTAAATTCAAGTCCTACATGGGATGTAAAGATTACTTAAAAAATAAAATCTTTTTAAAAAGAGAATAGGGGGGCGCCTGGGTGGCTCAGTTGGTTAAGCGACTGCCTTCGGCTCGGGTCGTGGTCCTGGAGTCCCGGGATCGAGTCCCACATCGGGCTCCCTGCTCGGCAGGGAGTCTGCTTCTCCCTCTGACCCTCATGATCTCTCTATCTCATTCTCTCTCTCAAATAAATAAATAAAATCTTTAAAAAAAAAAAAAAAGAGAATAGGGGCGCCGGGTGGCTCAAATGGTTAAGCGTACGACTCTTAGTTTTGGCTCAGGTCATGATCTCAGGGTCCTGGGATCAAGCCCCGCACCAGGCTCCACACTTAGCGCACTCTGCTTGTCCTTCTTCCTCTGCCTCCCTCTCTGTTCCTGTCCCCCACTCATGCTCTCTCTCTTTCCTCTCTCTCCGTCAAATAAATAAATAAAATCTTTAAAAAAAGAAAGAGAAGAGGATCTTCTCTTTTAGAAGAATGCTATCTAAGAGTACAGAATAATGTGATGAAGAGGAATCAGAATGTAAGGGAACAATTAGGATCTCAAATATGTATTGATGAATTGTCAACTTTAGATTCCAAAAATCAAAGCGTAAAAAATTTTAAGAATAAAATAATAAATAATAATAAAATAAACAAAACCCCCTCTTTCTCCCTCTTCCCACCAAAATAAATGAGACACTTATACAACCTAAAAACCTAGAATTGCATCCTATAGGAGTTTTCAGACTGCATTTTTACTGTAAGTGGAAAGAGTAGAAGAGGACCTAGATGGTTAGCACATAATCCCTCAATAAATTTATTTTATAAACAAATCAATAACATTTAACCAACTCTAGCAAAGAGTTTCTAGCATATAGTAATAAATAAAGGAAACCAAACAAACGTGAGGATAGTTAAAGCTAACCAAGTAATAAAGGTATAAATACTGGTGAACATAAAGTACAGAAGTAAAGAAAAACAGGTCAATAGTGAACAAAGCTCTATACAAAGAAACAAATGAAAAAGTAGATTGTGCACTAAGATTTTAAAGAAAGCTAAATTGGGTTAAACTGAGCTCACCTCTGAAAGTGCTACTAGGGACTGATGAGACAGAGAAGCATCCATGCCTCTGGCTGAAAGTTGCTCCTATAATTCCAAAAAACAGAGTTCGGTTAAAAACAGTATTTTGAAAGTGACCACCATTTCATATTTTCATCATATAACACAGTAACGAGAAGCTATAAATCACAGATGAAAAACTATACATGCATCTAAGCACTTTTTTTTTTTTAAGATTTTATTTATTTGACAGAGAGACACAGCGAGAGAGAGAACACAAGCAGGGGGAGTGGGAGAGGGAGAAGCAGGCTTCCCGCGGAGCAGGGAGCCCGATGTGGGGCTCGATCCCAGGGCCTGGGATCATGACCTGAGCCGAAGGCAGATGCTTAATGACTGAGCCACCCAGACGCCCCAGCATCTAGGCACTTTTATGCAGCACGTGGGTCATTTCAAACAGTCACAGATCTGCCACAAGATGGGTGCACTGCTAAGAGTCTGGGCTTCGGGGCCTGGCTGCCTGCGTTGGAATCTGGATCCACTGCTAAGCAGCTACATGACTTTGGGCAAGTTACCTATCTTCTCCATAGTTCCCTTATCTGTAAAAAGGTAGGAATAATACTGTCTAGTTGTAAGGATGAAGGTCAACAAGAAATCTGAGAAGAATTAAATAGGGGCACCTGGGTGGCTCAGTTGGTTAAGCATCTGCCTTCGGCTCAGGTCACGATCCTGGAGTCCCGGGATCAAGCCCCCCCCCG